CAGGGCTCCACCCACCCCCACTGCTGGCTCCTCCCAGGCCCACAGCTCCACCCACCCCCACTGCTGGCTCCTCCCAGGCCCAGGGCTCCACCCACTCCCACTGCTGGCTCCTCCCAGACTCACAGCTCCACCCACTCCCACTGCTGGCTCCTCCCAGGCCAATGGCTCCACCCACTCCCACTGCTGGCTCCTCCCAGGCCCAGGACTCCACTCATTCCTGCTACTCCAATTAGCACTCTGTGGCTCCCCCACCCCTGCTGCCCCAACTCTGGGGTCAAGGTTGGCCCTGCCTCCCCTCCTGAGGCCCACCCCTGCCTGCGCTGTGGCCTGTGCTCAGCTCCCACTCCAGGAGCATCACCATCAACCTTGGTGGTAGGGCCCAGTGCGCCTGCCCCCCAGGTGGCCACCCCACCTTCCAAGTGCCCCTCACCCCACTGCCCACCTTCCTGATGTGTCCCTGGCCAGTGCTGTGACCCAGGCTCACCTGTGCCTTCCAGGGGACCTGGAGACTGGTTCCCCTGCAGCCCAGGGCTGCCCATCTGACCATGGGCTGAGGGCTCACCTGAGAGGAAGGGATGGGCCAGGAGCAAGGGTTGAGGTAGCCATGGGAGGGCTCCTGGACATGGGGAGGAGTGCTGGGGAGGTGGGTGAGAGCGGTGGGAGGGGGTGTGGGTCATGGCATGGTTCTGTGTGGAAGGGAAGATGGGTGCCTCCCTGGGCAGGGCAGCAGGTCCAGGCTAGTGCTGAAAGCTCAGGCGAGCAGCACCGTGGGTCCCTGAGCCCTAAATGGGGCTATCTTGTGGCCAGAGCAGAGGGACCTCAGAGCTCCTGGGAAAGATGGGACCTGTGGCTCCCCCCAGTTCCCTGAGACATCGTCAGGTTCAAGGGCAGAATTCAGCCAACTCCTCACAAAGGGGAGACCCCCAGAGGCACAAACCCCCAGAACCAGGGACCAGCCCTGACTTTACCTCAGGGCTGGGAACCTAGTACCTCGGCCCTCGGTGTGGTGTCCCCCACGCCCCTGTTCTCCAGGAAGCAGGGCTTTGCTGAGCAGGTTGGGTGACCCTGGGGGGCCATGCCCTCCTGGCTTCACGGCCTCCACCAAGATGGGCATCGGGGGCCTGGTGCTTCCGTGGAAGGAGGACTGCAGTCTCAGCACATGTGCTGGGGAGGGGGGCAGACCATGAGGGGGAGCTGGGGAGGAGGGGTGGGGCAGGCCATGAGTAGGGGGTGAGGACGGGTTGTAGGGCTCACTCACCCTGGATGGCCGACTCACAGGCCTGGCTCACCAGCTGGAAGATGGTGGCCAGGGACTGAGGCTCGCCCTGGAAGGAAGACATGGCTTTGGGACCCCAACTAGTGCTGCCCAGGAAGGCC